GTTCTTGTTTTGTTTGTTCCCATAGTTTCTTGTTCGTGATTCTTTCCGGCCATCTGATCTTCAGTAGTATAGAGCGAAGACAGCTGTTGATAAAGGTCTGCAACAGGCTGTTGGAAATATTCTTGGTGACCCGGGAAGGCGAGAAACACATTCATTAACCTGAAACCAATCTAGAAATCTTCGTCTTTCTGCATCAACAACAAAATTCAGAGTTTCAATACAAACGCCAAGTCAGTCAGTTCTTCTATACGGATCAGAAACTTGGCGGGTCACAAAGAATATTTCCAACAGCCTGTTGCAGACCTTTATCAATAACTGTCTTCGCTCTATACTCAAGATCAGATGGCCGCCGGAAATAATCACCAACAAGAAACTATGGGAACAAACAAAACAAGAACCAATCACTCAACAAATATGCAGGAGAAAGTGGAGATGGATTGGACACTCACTCCCTGAGGAGGCCGCTGGGTGACATCGCGCGTCAGGCCAATGCTCGAGTGGAACCCAAAAGGGAAGCGGCGAGTGGGACGTCCAGGGGTGACATGGAGGAGATCGTGTGAAGAGGAGCTGAAACAGTATGGACTAACATGGATGTATGTGAAAAGTACAGCAGAAGACAGAAGCAAGTGGAGACGTGCAGTTGAAGCTCTATGTTCCAGTAGGAACCCAAGGGAACAATAATAATAATAATAAATGGGGATTTTTTCTATATTGATATAGGGTCATAATTTTATTCTTATATTTTGGTGAATGGATGATTTTTTTGGTTTGGTTTGGTTTGGTTTGTTCATATAAAAAAAACGAAACTGACTGTTGCTGTATAATTTATCTGATTTTTATAAACACAGACATATAAATAAATTAGTATAAATGTCATGCTGTCATGCCTAGACTCTGTTGTATAGGTGAAGATGGTGATCGGAAAAATGTACAAACGAGATGTACAGATAGACATAAAGGTGATCATCAGTCCGATATTACACTATACGTTTATGTCACGGAGGATGCTGAATGCATTAAGACTGACTCGTAGCACAACTTTCGAGTAATAATAAGTGTAGGTAGAGATGCGGCATTCACTCAACACACCCTCAACAATCAAATTCCGTTCCTTCATCAATTAATTCTTTGCTCACGCCATCATTACAAAAGGTTTGGAAGGACGGAAAGGTACCTAATGATGGGAAGAGAGAGAGAGAAGTTGATTACTTAATCCTGGTTCATCGAGTCTACACCAAACACGTGCAATAGGAATGAATCACCACTCATACCAGAGATATGGGAAGTATTATTACCAATCAAATCGAGATGAGAAATAGTGTAACCATATTAAGGAAGTTAGAAAGTTGTGTGAGTAACTTGATATGATAATGAGCGGTAATAAATTGTGCTCGAAATGTGGTCATCAGTAGTAAATATTCCAGTATAACACTGCGAGACTTTATCAAAATAAATTTTACCCACAATGGAAAAGTGTCTACCGATAGGAAGAAACGCTACCTTCTCAAACTACCAAAGAAGAGAGACTTACGCCTTTGCAAGAATTGGCGTGGAATAATGCTCTTGTCTACGCCAAGTAAAATACGAAGTCGTGTCATCCTAGAGAGACTCAAGGATGCACTGGATACAGAACTTTGCAACTCTACGCATCGTCATCATCGATCAGAACACAGTATGACAGTTAAACCTCTCTGTACCTCAACTATACCGACTTTGAAAATACCTTCGACAGAGAATGTTGACCGAGAAGTCATTAGGAAGCTACTTCACCAGTATGACTGGCTGGTTAAGGTCCTAGAGATGGTGAGAACCAATGGCTGGAGCTGGAAACAATTGGTGATGTGGTTCAAAATCGTTGTCAATGACTGTTGCAAGTGCATTCACTGTTTGTGATTTATCATATCCAATGAAACTCTATTGTTCTTCCGCATTACTATTCTCTCTGGTTATTATCTCTGTCTTTTGAATCTCTATTTACTTTCTTTGCGCGGTACAAGGAGTGAGTGTGGCAATTGGAACTGTTATACATCTGTACAATGTTCTACTTCGAAAGCAGTCAGTCGGTTAGCCTTGAAAAACTGAGCATAGGCAAACATGGATACGTGCTGCTAGAAGAACTCAAAGTAAAAATCAAATCCTCCTTGTGTTTCAACACCCCTGTATACAGAGACAATTCCTGGAAAAATCTACCACAAAGAGCGTAATGCTTAAAAATACACACATATAAACAGCTACCTCATATTAAAACTCAACTCTATAAAACATCTTAGTGCTTCTCATAAGTGCGCAGTCAATTACTTGTTTATGACTGTTAATCTGCCTACAAAGACACAAGAAAAACTTTCCTATCTAAAATATTCATTCATATATCTATAAAACAAACACAAAATAATTGAGCAAAGAATATCCCTTTCGATAAATTCCTCTTCTGGCTCTACAATTATGTATATATATGTATATACATAGAATTTTCTAGAATAGTAGTCAATAACAATATTAGTGTTTTTAAATGATAATATCGATTTGTAAAGTGTGATCAATGGGATTACAGTTCATTAAAGATGCTTAAATTATAATAATAACAAAGATATAATAGTAAATAGAATATCAACTAAAATTAGAAAAATTCCACAAAAATTCAGGATCATTCAAACCTAGATGGCCAAGGTAAGCACAATTTCTGAACCAGCTTCTTTTGGACACATAAATTAGGCTTCTTAATGCGGATCCCAACAGTCGGCCTCAGCAATATGTAGTAGACGAACTCTTAAAGCAAATTTGAGATTCGTAGGTATGCGGTAAATGACCCTGAAAGCATGATTAACGTCAATCTTGTGTTCTGTCTCCACAAGATGAGACAGAATAGCGCTGCGAATCTGTCTGTCTCTGTCTGTCTGTTTTCGACATAGAACTTTGCACTGATGTGCGGCAGTTCAAGTCGCCACAATCCATGTAGCATGCAAAGCAAGAGAAGGAAGTAGAAGAAATGCATAATATAGACAGTAAACAGAGGTGTGAGACAAAGGAATAGTAATAACGGAGAACAAAACAGTTTAATTGGAAATGATAAGTCACAAGGAGTGGATGCATCTGCGCCACTGAGAACGATTTTGAGCCATATCACCAATTGTTTCCAACCATTGGTTTTTACCATCCCGAGGGCCCCAACCAGGAAGTCTACATCTTCCTACGTGGCTTAGATTAACTGTTGTGGATTTCATTGATTGGTGCCATGTTTTGGTTTGACCGCCGCTAGCTCTTTTCCAGCCTGACCCTATATCAGCTAACATTGCCCGTCGAGGAAGGCGATGACTAGGCATACGTAGCACATGTCCTAACCATCTCAGTCGACGTAATTTCACAGTCTCGTCGATTGATTTCCCCGCCTTACCTAGCACTCGACGCCTAACCTCAATATTGCTCACCTTATTATACCACTTCACGCGGGAGATAGAACGCAGACACCTATGATCGAACACAGCTAATCTTTTCATGTCTTCCAATCTCAATGGCCAGGTCTCACAGCCATAAAGGAGGACGGAGCGGACTGTTGAGCAGTACACACGCCCTTTGGTCGATAGTCGGATATCGCGTCTACGCCAGAGACGGCGAAAACTGGCGAATGCGAACCTAGCCCTCTGTATTCGTGCTGAAATTTCGTCGGAGATCAACCCGTTGGGGCTGATGGTACTTCCCAAGTAAGTGAAGCGGTCAACGTGTTCTACCACTTCACTTCCTATTTCTAATCTAGGGGTCGATGAAGTCCAATCCTGCAGCATCATCTTACATTTTATAGGGGCGAATCGCATGCCAAACATGCGGAGATTGTTGCTCAGGGTGTTCAGTAGACTCTGCATTTTGTCAGAGTCCTCGCCTAGAAGGACTATATCGTCCGCATATTCTAAGTCAACGAGATTCTTCCCTGGTAGCAAGTCAATCCCTGAGTCGCTGAAGTGAGTTAGGGTTAAGTCCATTAGTACATCTATGATGAAATTGAATAGGATTTTGTTTGTCCTTTGCTTAACCAGGCACGGTGATGTTCGGAAATTCGATGAGAAACACGCCTAATTGTACAGCCTATGTAATTGGCTCACCCCACAGGAGCAGTTAAATTGGTATATACACATGGAAGAGATGAAATTAGGCAGTTTATCTTTCATTCCCGAACGCAGAAGAGGAGTGGTTTTAAAGATACAGCATAATTCTGCAGCAGGGAATGCTCTTTTTACCGAATTTCTAAGGCGCTGTGTTACTATCTCACTGGTGTTGTCTCCTAGGAACTGCATCTGTAAGAATAAGGCCTTTTTTGGAACTGTTGGCAACTTGAGCTGCTTTGGTTTCAGATTCAGATTCTTATCAATAAACTTTTCAGGATAACCATTCTCACTTAGCAACCATTAAGCAAAGGACAAACAAAATCTATTCGCAGCGCTATTCTGTCTCATCTTGTGGAGACAGAACACAAGATTGACGTTAATCATGCTTTCAGGGTCATTTACCGCATACCCACGAATCTCAATTTCGCCTTAAGAGTTCGACTACTAAATATTGCTGAGACTGTTGGGATCCATATTAACAAGCCTAATTTGTGCATCCAAAAGAAGTTAGTTCAGACATTATCATTACCTTGGCCATCCAGGTTTGAATAATCAGGAATTTTTGTAGAATTTCCCTAATTTTAGTTGATATTCTATTCGCTACTATATCTTTGTTGTTATTATTATGATTATTATTATTATTATTTAAGCATCTTTAATGAACTCTAATTCCACTGATCATACTTTACAAATCGATATTATCATTTAAAAACACTGATATTCTTATTGACTACTATTCTAGAATATTCTATGTATATAAACATATATATATATATATATATATATATATATATGATTATAGAGCCAGGTGAGGAATTTATCGAAAAGAATATTCTTTGCTCGATTATTTTGCGTTTCCTATCCAACATAAAAAAACACAGATAAGACAGAACTGACACTTACAGTCGAACATGCAACAGTTTTGTACTCCCTCTGGGCAATCGAAAAGTTGACACTCTAGAGGCTGTTCGTCCTAATCGATGACGACGAACTCCAGCAGCATTTTGTCCAACGCCATTTGACTTTTCACTCGATAATAAGAAGGCAGGAGCATTCGCAGCATTATAGTTGTGGTATACATCAATATTATCCTTATTATTATCACTGGTATGTTTTACAAACCATGGACAAGGATTGACGTTTTCTTCTGTTCCCTCTGCCTCGTGCTCGTGCTCCTGCTCCTCTTCATCATCGCCATCGTCTTCTTCGTCATCTTCATCATCTACACTTTTCGAACCAACTACATCGAATATAGAAGCAGGTCGAGCTGTCAGTAACATTCGAATAGGACGAAGTAAGTTTATGTGTACACGAACTTGACCTTCACAATCACATGGGCCAATATCATTCGACTGTAAAAAGAATTTTTTAAAAATGAAAAATCGCAGAAAGATTAACGAAAATGAAACTTGCTAGGCTTGATAATCAACCTACGAAAATTCTTAAAATAATATACTACTGATTAGTCGTGATGAGTAGTTGAATACCATTCATATTAACCAGTGGTAACTACCTACCTACCTTATTTATTTAAACGCAGAAAAAAAACTTGGTACAATATGGCACCAAGAAAGATGCACCACACAATAATAATAAAACAACATAGATCAAAAGTAAAAAATATATGTAGAGAACGGATAAAGAACTTCATCTGGAAGGAAAACAGTCATACTTAACAAGTTCAAACAGTATTCGTCAACTGTCATCGGGAAGGGAAGAAAGAAGGAAACTGCAACACGTTCGCCATTGATTACGATTCTTGGCCATATCCAATAACGTTTCGAGCCATCGATTCGAGCTATCTCTCAGACCCCAACCAGGGAGTCGTGACACACCAACCGATGCTAATCTAGCACAAAAATCCTTCATCCCACGACGCCACGTCATGGACTGACCACCTCTCCGCCTTTTCCATCCCGTCCCAGGGCTAGCGAACAGAGACCTGTACGGAAGCCTCTGGGGTGACATTCACAGCATATGTCCAAGTCACCGGAGCCGGTGTTTCCAGATGACGACATTCAATGAATGGTGATCTCCACTGTATTCAAAAACATACGCCACCGAACCTTAGAATTACTCAGGCGATGATGCCATCGAACGCAAGCAATCCTGTGGAGACAGCGATGATCGAACACCCAGAGCCGCCGCACATCCTCAGCTCGGAGAGGCCAGGTTTCACAGGCGTAGAGCAAGACAGCCCGCACTGAAGCATTGTATACCCGACCTTTGACAGCCAGTCTAACGTCGCGACGGCGCCAGAGGTGGCTCAAGTTCATGTATGCCACCCTAGTCTTCATCATACGGTTGGGAATCTCATCCGTCACCCCTCCGCCAGCACTCGCACAACTACCCAGATGATACACAAACTTATCAACAACTTCAAGCGGTTCACCCGCAAGAGTGATTGCAGGTACAGGCTCCTGACAATCTTCTAACAGTACTTTGCACTTAGGCGGCGCAAAGTACATACCATACTTACAGACACTGATCGCCAACTGATTAAGTGCGATTTGGGCAGCCTGCATGCTATCGCACAGTAAGATGATATCGTCTGTATACTCGAGGTCGAAAAGTCTATCTCTAGGGAGCAGATCTACACCACCTTCACGCACATCCTTCAGAGCTGATTCCAGAATTTCATCGATGGCAAAGTTAAAGAGAAATGGAGAGATTGGGCATCCCTGTCTAACTCCACTGTTGGTTGGGAACAGTGATGATAGTTGGTTGTATGCCCTCATTCTATCTGAGGTGTTTCTGTACAGGGCTTTCAAGATGTTAACACATTCCTCAGGTACACCCCTCTCTAACAGACAGTTCCAGAGCACAGTTCTGTCCAACGAATCGAAGGCAGGCCTAATATCAAGAAACACAACGATCGTTGGCCTGCAATACGTGTGGCGGTGTTCCAACAACTGACGAAGGGTGAACACATGATCAATGCATCCACGACCTGAACAAAACGCAACCTGCTCTTCGCGAATCAATCCCTCATGTGTTTTGTACAGCCTGTGAAGCAAAATAGCAGCCAATATTTTAGACGCAACTGGTAGCAGACTGATACCCCTGTGATTGTCACATGAATTACGTCGACCCTTTTTAAAGATGGGGACGATAATGGCTTCGTTCCACATTGACGGTACACTCTCAGTCTCTCATACCTTCCTGAATAATCCAGTTAGAGCCATTGCGAGAGGCTCACCACCATCTCTAAAAAGAGCCGGAGGTAGATTGTCTACCTACCTATCTACCTACTTACTAGCCACCAGATCGAATTAACCGAAACACAAGAGAGCCGTTTCTCTCGCTTCTGGAGAAGTTCATCAACGGTGTACTCATCACTTGGTGTGACTCAGCTTAGAGAGCTGAACCAGTTCAATCCATCCAATTTCTGGTTAGCTACTTGAGCAAACCGGTAAATCCATAAATCCAAACTCACAATTTACACAATTCAAGGTGAGATGATTTCATCACAGTTCCCTTTAGAAACCAAAATACACGATCAGCTCTTGATACCGTAAATGGTAATCGATAAACCAAGTAGAAATGCATGACTTTACATACATACACACATACATGCATTTGTGGAAGCAAATACATTGAGTGTACGAAAAGCTGTCTATCGGTACGTGTTGCTGAACGCTGCACAAAAATAACTACGTGACACACACACAATGACATCTTAAAGAGTCCAATCACCCGACATTTATTGAACTGTAATCATATACAGTGACGCTGGCCAAAAGCTTCATAGATATATTATTAATCAGCAAGGTAATAATAAAAAAGCTTTTGGTTGGAGAATTTCATCATGAGCTGACATTGGTTAGAGAACCATTGGAAAACCAGCTGTTCAGTACTCCTAGCTGGTTTTCCAATGCTTCTCTGGCTGATTTTAGCTTATGATGAAATCCTCCAACCAATCAAACAAATATTCCCTACAAAACCAATATTTTTGAAAAAAAAATAGCTCTTGGCTTTGCTAAAGTCTGTGTAGTCAGATTAAAGAAGCCAGATCTAATGTATACGAAGGGAGGTAGTAGTAGCTAGCTTCAATCTACCTTGATAGCATCCGTTCATTTCACCTGTACAATTTTCCTTCCCATCTCATGCCCCTTCTCTTTACAATGTCTTTTCCATTATTATTACTATTATTATTATTATGTCTGGCATACTTTTGGTTTTCTTAGGGCATATTAGACAAGTTTACTTTAAATACCACACAGTCATGATGATGCTGCAGTATTAACAATTAGATGTGACGAGGTTTCCAGCATAAATTATTGCCACTCATAATCATATCAATTTTAATCACGCAGTTTCACAATTTGTCTTCTTTCTCTCCAACTTCCCTTTGTTGTTTGTTGCCACTTTGCATATCTCGGATACAGGCGGCTTTGCGTCATTTCGATTACATGTGTGCGGTGTTGAATCGACAAACCAAGCTTCAGCGATTAACCTCCCTCTCTGTCTCTCCACCTAACTACGTATTACTTTTTAATACTCTCACACTATCCTACACAACCTATTGTGTGATTACATGCAAGTGAATGCAGTGCAATGGCTGAGCTTTCTTCTAGATTATTTAACTTAGCAGAGTCAATCATCATTCTGGTTCTGGCTAAATTTTTAATGTTCCAGTAAACTAGTCGACCCGGATCTAATCTACTATTTTGACCTATGCAGTAGACCTCACTGTATAGCATTACAAGTTATTTGATAAATTATATCATTTTTCTTAATTGGATCTATTGGGTCCTTAAGCCGATAAGCAAAGTTTATCTCTGAGAGAGTTGGTTGATCGCTTGGTTTAAACGCCGCCCTGACTAATTCCAGCCTCATTGAAAATTCTACGTAAGGCTTCTGACGCTCCTTCTTTATATAACAGTACTACACAGGCTATGAATTCTATATTATTTTCATCATTTTTGTCACTAATCTTAATTTTTCTATGGTTCTTCACACAATGCTGAATAAATTCTGGAGGGGTAGTTATTCAAATCCTCCGGCTTACACTAGTTAGGCTTCCGGTTCGAATATACAGACATTTAACTAAACGTATCTTTACCCATTTTGGATGGGATGAACTAAAGTCTAAGTATTTTGTATTAAAGTGTGTCGGTTTCTCATAAATGCCAGTTATCTAACCACCCACCATCTTGTTTTCATTTTATTCTACAGTCTAGCATGGTCAGATCACCCTGTACGGTCTTCGAAAATTCTGTTATCCACTTTCAACCTAACAAACAAAGGTATTCCTTCACATAGGTTCCATTGATTGTATGCTACAGAAGTCAATACATGATATTTCATGCTGAATTAAGGAAGGTACCATCGGATGGACCGACAATACACAAAATACATAACTCCTTGTCTACACTTTTGCAATTCAGTTGGCTGATACACACCGAGCTAACAAATGAATGCATTAAAGCGACCACGGATGGATATCAGTTAGAGAGAACCATTGAAAACCAGCACTGGAGTACTGGAAAGATAGCTGTTTTGTCAGCCTAGTTTGGGACTCATCAGTAGTACGCATCCACCACAAAGGTTCGAAACCAGGACGTTCTGGTTACAAGACTAGTGAGCTCGTAGACCATTCAGCCACTGGGACCCGACTCTTCAATGACCAGTCCATGAATTCTAACTTCTACGAATTCGTGATTCTAGCACGACCACTGACATCAATCCGAGGTCTAACCTTAAAATAAATAGAATCCCCACAAACTAATTTTTGAAAATTAATCCCATGATCGCTAGTGGCTGGCTGACAGATGAAGTGGCTTGAAGTTCTAGTAAGATGTCGTGACTACCAGTGGGGTCTATCTAGTTGAGAGTGAGGATGGAGTTCCCTCCGATGACACTGGTTGGTGCCAGTCGCGCTAAAATCACGAGTTGATAAAAGTTAGAATTCATAGGCTGATCATTGAAGAGTCGGATCCCAGTGGTTGAATGGCCTAAGAGCTCTCACTAGTCTTGTAACCAGAACGTCCTGGTTTCGAACCCTCGTGGTGAGTGCCTACTGCCGATGAGTTCCAAACTAGGCTGAGGAAACAGCTAGCTTTCCAGTACTCCAGTGCTGGTTTTCAGTGGCCCTTTAACTGATATCAATCCGCGATATAACGTGAAAATAAATAAACAGTATTGTATTGTGCAACATAGATATACTAAACTAACACAACCAACTATCTTATATCATCAAATCAATGTGCACCATGATGGCGAGCTACCTAGAATGGTGGCCATATTGCAAACCTGACTGATAGAATTCAGTCTGAATCAAAGAAAGGACTAGACACGTCACAATAGTTACTAGTGTCCAATCAAACTACCCACTACAGTCCTACAGGAGGTCAATCGCGAGCCCGAATATCTGCTCAGTGGTAACGTCTCTGACTGCAAGCGGTACTGCATAGTGAAGCGGGTTCGAATCTCAGAAGGGACACGAGTTCCTTCCTTCAAGGTTTCAGATACGCCTTGCTGACTGGTGAGTGCCAACTAGCACGAAACCTAGGTGGTGTCCAAGGCTTCCTGTGGCCGATTGCCTCCAACTATCTAATATCATAAAATAACACATTCACAGTTACAATAACATTCGACAAAAAACAACAACCACTGAAATCTTACATTTGTCACTTGTAATCCAAAATCATTTGCACTAAATACGGTAATCAGTTGTTTTAAACGATCTGCAGACCAGGGTAACACAGCTCGTGGTCCAACAACCATTGGAATAAGCGATAGCATATTTGTTGACATCATCATATGATTTTGAAAGCTTCGTTTAGGTTTAGTACGAATAAATTCTTGCGTTGTCTGGATAACACTAGCTAAACCAATATCTGAGATTTCTTGCTCGGAAGTGGAATTTTCATTTGACAGGGCTGGTGATGGTGATGAGTGGACATTTGTCTCAGGTTTTGTTATGAAGTCATTAGTGATATTTGTGTTTTCGTGAAATGATTCATGAGAAGAAGAAGAAGTTTGTTGTAATTCAGTTAGTGATGGACTCAATTGTCTTACAGATATCCCATAATTTCGAATGGTTTCTTTATCTAAACTTGAAAAATCATAAGCTAGACAAACATGAGGTGGTTTACTTCCAGATAAAAACGAATGTCGAGTAGTCAATTTTGCTACATTGGCGGGTTTTTTCTCTTTTTTCAGGTCTGTAGCACGTCTTGACAGTGGTGCTACTGCTGCTGCTGGTGACAATTGAAGATTGGATCTTATCTGTTTTTCTGCTGCTGATGCTGCTGAAGATGTATGTGGATCATCACTACGAAGACCATCACCGCCAGTAGTAGCAGTAAATGCTTCAACATACTCAACTTTTTGTTGTTGTACTTGAATTATTTCACTTTGATCACATTGTGGTTTATCTGATGAAGAGTTGACATCAAATGCCTTACATATGGGTTGTTCTGAAATAGATAACAAAATAATAATAATGACGCTTCATAACATAGTTTTGTCTTTCTTACTGGACAGTATTCAAATGTATCAGTCTATAGAACTCACGTGTCTCTCTATCGATTAGTCGTCGTTAAAGAGGGAGAACTATGCGTATATCCATTAAACATAAGTGTAGAAATGTATAACTACTGCTCAGCAGTTCGCTCTGTCCTCCTTTGTGGCTGTGACTGAGATCTGGCCATCGAGAGTGGAAGGCATGAAAAACCTGACTAGCTAGCTGGCTAGCTGTCTTTGATCATAGGTGCCAATGCGTTCTGTCTCCCGTGTATGTTAGGTGGTGGTATAATAAGGTGAGCAATATTGAAGTTAGGCGTTGAGTGCTAAGTGAGGAAGGGAAATCAATCGCCGAGGCTGTGAAGTTACATCGATTGAGATGGTTACGTATGCCTAGCCATCCATCGTCTTCCTCGCCAAACGGGCAATGTTAGCTGACATAGGGCCAGGTTGGAAAAGAGTTAGCTAGTGGTGATCAAACCAAAACATAGTTTCAACAATCAATGAAATCCACAACAGTTAGTTTACTTTAGTCAGGTGGGCAGGTGTAAACTCCCTGACTGCTTGGGGTTTCCGGGACGGTAAAAACCAATGAAGGCTGGAGACAATCAATGCTATGGCTCAAAACCGTTTCCGGTGATGGCTGGCGCAGATGAGTCCACTCCTTGTGACTATATTGTTCTTCGCTATTACTATTTCTTTTGTCTCATATCTCTGTCTACTGTCTCTATTCTGCATTTCATTTTACTTCCTTCTTCTTTTCTTGCTTTTATGTGCTACAAGGAAGGAGTGTGGTGACTTGAACTGCTGCATATTGGTGCAAAGTTCTATGTTGAAATCAGACAAACAGATAGACATATTGATTTTTTTTATTTCAGTACCTATTGATATAGTAATATTTATCCGATGACGTCTGGAGTACAGTGGATTACTACAACTCATCATCATTATCATCGTATGCAAGTGATATGCTGCATATACCCAGCTAAATAATACTGTATCACTATCACTATGAGCTAAGTCAAACAAACAAAGTAACCAGAAGGTCCTGGATTCGAACCCCAGTGGGTGCTTACTGCCGATGATTCCCAAACTAGGCTGATGAAACAGCTGTCCAGTACTCCCCGCTTGTTTTCAATGGTTCTCTAACTGATATCAACCCGTGATTAACTCTTAAAAACCTTGCAAACCAAACTATAGAAAAGTAACATTCGCCTATAAACTGTCATCAATTGTTGGTGTTATGTTTAACTTATGAGAGTAATCATTAGTAAATCAATCAATAATGATGAGTGAACTAATTGGTGCTAGGGAGAAACAAACATGAGAGAACCAGACAGGTTTTAGACCAGGAAGAGAGTGTATTCATCATATTTTCACCATTCGACAACATAGCTACAATTACCGGTGCCCAACAATCATAATATTTCTTGACTTGAAAGCGACATTCGATTCCATCAACCGAGAGGTAGGTACTATGGCGACGTTTGGCTATGAAGGGTATGTCGAGAAATAAAACCGCTCTCATCAAAACACTCACTCTACTCGAACTCATACAGTCAGTCAGGTGAGACCCTAAGAAGAGTTATCACATCTGAAGTGGTGACAACCAGTGGTGTCTGTCAGCGATGCCCACAGTCCCCACTAATTGGTATAATATGGTGGACAATATTTAGGTTAGGCATTGGTGGTTGGGAGGTAGGTAAGGAGGGGAAATCAGCAGACAAGATGGTTGTGAACCTACACTACTACATCGATTGAGAGAGATGGTTAGGACATGTGTTACGCATACCACCATGTAATGCCATCGATCACCTTCCTCGGTGATGGGCAATGTTAGCTGACTGACATTGGATGGATGAGCTTGGAAAAGAGTTAGTTAGCTAGTGGCGGTCAAAGGAAAACATGGCTTCATCAGTCAATGAAATGCATGATAGTTAGTTTAAACTACTCATGAAGGGAGGTGTAGAGTGCCTGGCTATCTGGATGGTGTCCTCGAGATGGTAAGAACCCGTGGTGGCTAGCTGAAAATAGTTCTCAATGGCTGTCGCAAATGCATTCACTCCTTATGACTGGTTATATCTACTAAAACTCTATTGTTCTTCCACATTACTATTCTTTCTGTTTATTTTCTCTCTCCCTTTTGAATCTCTCTTTACTCTCTTCTCTTTCTTTGTGTGGTACAAGAAGGTAGTGTGGGAAGTGGAACTGCTTCACTAATGGATTTACAATGAGAAAAAATATGGCTACCATGAATCTGTCGTCGTCTGGTGGATAACGGTCAGGAGTTCCATATGACAGACGCTGAAATTGAATCTTAGTGGAAACACTAACACACCAGTTGTAAACATTTTGACATTTCTCAGATAAAACAATATACTACTGATTGACAGTGGTGAGTAGTTGAATACCACTCATATTAACCAGTGGCAACCTACCTACCTACTAGCCACCAGATTGAATTAACCTAAACACAGGAGAGCCGCTTCTCTCGCTTCTGGAGAATACCATCAGAGAACTGAACCACTTCAAACCAGTCAATTTCTGTCTAGCTTAACTTAAGCGAACTGGTAAATCTATATATCAAATTCGGAATTTGCAAATTATTCACAAGGACCGATTCCTCAGAAAACCTGAAAAAATCAAGTCTAATAGTTTACTTTCAAACGACTTGTAAACTCTTCGCCGTTATTACCAAATTCAAAAAAGCTCAAATCAATAAAATACATAAAAGAAATAAATCAAAGGTAAACTAACCAGAATTAGGAAAGTCCACTACTGCAGCAACATCACCAGAAGAAATATGGTCAACCATTCCAACATTATCATCACCATTTACCAGTGAGACGTCAGCCAATGATAGAATATTTACAGGAGAATCCACTTTAGGAGATTTAGTTAAAGTGTCATCAGATGAAAGTTGATCATTTTCATCATTCTCCAAACTTATTGACAATTCAGAAAGTTCTTTATCGACCTGTGTTAGGGTGAAAGTTTTTACAACAACAACAACAACAAAAATTGTGAATAAATACTTCGGATATGAATTATTAACAAATCATGTGATCTGAAAGCGGTCCGGCAACGACAGATAACCTTTAGCACATGAGATTAAGAGGTGTCCTTTACTCTGATGACATTAGATGGTTAGAGGCGATCGGCCACAGGAAGCCCTGTCGGGACCTACCTAGGTTTCGTGCTAGTTGGCACTCACCAGTCAGTCAGAAAGGAGGCATATCTGCAACCTTACAGGAAGGAACTCATGTCCCTTCTAAGATTCGAACCCGCGCTTGCAGTCAGAGACGTTAACATTGAGCAGCTATTCGGGCTTGTGACTGACCACCACTTGTAGGACTTTCAGCTCAGAGACCATTGTGTGACAGGATATACAGATACGCCTTGCTGACGAATGCCAGCTAGCCCGAAACCTAGGTCCCGTCAGAGCTCCCCCCGATTGCCTCCAAACATCTAATATCATCAAACCAATGTGCACAGTGATGGTGAACTACCTAGAATAGTGGCCAAATTGCAAACCTGACTGACTGATAGAATTCAGTCTGCACCAAAGAGAGGACTAGACACACACATTACACTAGTTACTCACTAGTATCCAATCAAAATATCTTACATTTCATAATTTTACATAAAAACAGAGCGTGCGAATATATCAACAAAATCATGTATCAAATAACTAACCGACCGACCGACCGATAAGAAAATTATTCAAAAATTGTCGTAACTTTCTATTATAATCACATTCGAAAAAGTAACCAACTGTATTAAATTGTGAGGGTGTAAACCATTGGTTTAGGTACTCTCACCCGTTGTCGACTGAATCACACGTTTAAATCCCACCCACCCACGAACCAAACACGTAGCATAATCATATCTCATACAACAAGTGCTGCTCACTGACAAAGGTATAGACGGGTGAACAGTTTCTAGGTCCGGTTTCACGGCATAGTTAAACTTTAAGCACCAGTAGTAAGTACCAACGAACAAGTGACCTTGAACGCACCAATCATATGATAAAGGCCATATTAGCGTATAAAATACGCATATTCATGAAAAAATAATGAATTCAAAGGCATGAAACTGTTACACAGGTTACCTTTCTCTGACATGTGACAAAAATACCTCTCACAGTTTTGTATTGGAGTATCAACAGAGTAATTTAACCACATTCTATGCAGATAATTATCTAAGTCTTCTAATCCTAACGATAACCCCAATGTATCTTAAGTCTAAACCTTAACTTAGTCTTTCCTAAACCAAACCTGAAACTTGCCAGATATCCCCCATTGAATAACACAACACTTCATTAGGCATATTTTATTGTTGATGATAACATTATTTACCAGGTTTTACTAACTTGCTCACTGAGCGTTTCCAGGTCATTGATGCGGCCGCACTCCACTGGTCACTTACTGGTGCTTAAAGTTTAACTAGACCAGTTTCACTCATTTGCATACATTAGAACCTAGTTTGTAGTGCACACACACACGCACCAATGCTTAATTATTTTATTAACTGTGTTCAGAGGTGGATAGCTTCTGCGGCTTCAAAATATATATTAGGCGTTTCTCTCGGAACTTGATTTTCCGTGCTCAATCGGGAACATCTATCTACCAGTGTGGTTAAATTAAGGTGTAATGAAAAGCATGAACAGCTTGATACTAGAACACCTGGTCTAAACTGGCCAGAAAGTCAGCAGTGAAGAATCCTTCTCCGTCATCATCTACTGGGTACCAAATAAATTACCAAAGACATCCAGGTACCGCATACTCTAAACAGCTGAGGCTATCGCGATTCGCCTTGAACAACCAGTACTTTGTGTGCAGAGGAAGCAAGTTCAGTCACTCCTACTGCCCTGGACTTCAGTAGAGACTATAAATTCATGAATTCTGTATTACTATTATCTTTCCTAATTTGTCTGTCTGATATTCAGCGTATTGTTATGTTGATGCTATTGAACTGTAATCCATTGATATTATTATTCATTCGATGTTATAAGTAACTATTTCTATGTGAAATGAACTAGCGAGCATCAATTCATATGAGCAGAGAATGAAGTTATATTAATATATTATTTATTATTATTATTATAGCTTGATTCCACACAGTATTTTGGTACAAGTATGAAATTTTCAGCATGTGATAATGGTAGCCGAAATTTAGCAGGCCGACCATAGATATCAGGTGTGCGTCGGCGGGGGATCGAACCTCGGACCACGTGCTTGATCGGCGAGAGTCCTAACCGCTGTGCCACCGACATAGGATCTAGAATAACTGAAATGACCATCTAAGTTAATGCACCTTAAACTAGGATTTAGAGTTGGATATCACAAATAGTGACTTGGCAGTAGAATGCTCGCCAACCATGCAGGTGGTCTGGGTTTCGACTCCCCAGGCAACGCACTCCTAAACCTCGCTAAGCTGGTAATAAGACCGGTCTGACTGACTGGCTGACTGGTTTCAACATAGAACTTTGTACAGATGTTCAACAGTTACACTTGCCACACTCCATCCTTGTACCCCACAAAGCAGGAGAAGAGAGTAAACAAAGATTCAAAAGACACATAACAAATAGAAGTGTAAGTGAGAAAAAAAATAGTAATGTGGAAGAACAATAGAGTTTTATTGGATATGATAAATCACAAACAGTGAATGCATCTGCGCCAAACATTGACAACGACGATTTTGAGCCATATATCACCAATCTTCTCCAGCCACCATTGGTTCCTACCATCCCGAGGACACCAACCAGACAGTCAGGCAGTCTACACCTCCCTACATGACTAGTTTAAACTGTCATGGATTTTACTGACTGATGAGTTCATGGGCCAGTCCATGAATTCTAACTTCTGTTCATTCACGATATGGCGGAACTGGCACTAGCAAATATCCTCATATCCTCATAATACATTGATAATTTTCATATCTCCATGGATTTTAACTTCCATTCGTTTTTCAAAGTAAATTAGTCTGCTTTGCATGACATAGGTAGATATATATTTGACTATATTTAAAATGAAATATTTTATCGTCCGAATCCCTTCTCCAGACTCTCACAGTTGATAATGCTGAGGAAGTCAGCGTCAATTTTTAGAATTGTACGTCTTAGGTAGCTAACTAGTTTAGGTGTGATATGTTAAAGGTTGTTAGTTTTCAATTTGGACAGTTGGTTTATTATTTATTTGTATTTTTTTTCATTTTCTGAAGATTTAAACAAGCTGATTCTTTTTTAAATTGAATTTGAGACTTTTTCCCGTCGATTGTGATTGGACCGAAATGCCCGGTCTCAGGTTGACATGTCTGTTGGCTTCTTGTGCAGATGCTTCGATGATGTCTGGGCATTGAATTAGAACTTAATTTGTGGATAGTGACTAGCAGTGGAGTAATCCAGGATAACGCGCATTTCGTCCTATTTGGGACTCGTCATCTGGATGTACCTGCATTCCCCAGTGAGTGATGATGTTCCCACCGAGGCTCGAACCCAGTGACCATAGTTTCAAACGCCAAAGCGTTATCCATTAGACCACTTGGGCCACGAGAGCCACTGCCTGTTGTGCAACGGGTCTTATTGATTATTGAATTAAATTTCAGATTTTCCCATTGACTGATTAGACCGAAGTGTTCGGTCTCCTGGATTGCACTGCTAGTCATCATCCACCACTTGACTTCAAGTTACATGACCAAACATCATCGAAGTATCTGCACAAGCAGCCAACAGACATGTCAACCTGAGACCGAGCACTTCCATCCAATCAATCGACGAGAAAATCTAAAATTCAATTAAATACTTGAATATTATGGGAATTTTTTTTTAACAAAGACGAAAGTTCAGAACGGGAGTCTAAATATCTTTAAAGGGAGAAATGTCACAGCGACTCACAAATTTATTACTCATACATATTGAGTGGCTGTAAAAGCATAAGGTTCACTTACTTCTTTAATTTCTTCGTTTGAAACATCCTCAGCCAGGAATGAACCTTCTTCAGTCACTTGATTAGTGTATTTGGTATCTCCATCACATAAAACTACAACTTCATCACTGCACAACCAGTGGCATGTCATATGGCATTCTATGAAGTTGAAAAATACAAAATATTATAGCAGAAAGCGACAAATGATGAGCAGTATATCAAGCATTCATAAATAATGTTTTGGCTAGAAATATTTATACCGCACCATATTATTATGAAGAGGAGATGAAAGCATGTGGGTAGACGTGGAGCCAAGTAAAAACATTGGCAGAGAACCGAACGCAATGGAGACGTGCTGCTGAAGCCCTATGTTCCTCTAGGAACTAAAGGAAACAATAATAATACATTATTATTATCCCCTTGGGTTTCGAGCGGGACATAGGACTTCAACAACACATCTACACTTTGTTCTATTTTCTGCTGTCATCTTCAACTGGATCTGCGACTGCGCATAATCTCTCATCTCCTCCTCGCCACACGATCTCCACCATGTTACCCTCGTACCGACGACCCACTCGTCGCTTTCCACTGGAGTTTCACTCGAGCAATGACTGGCGAGCGATGTCATTCGACAGTCTCCTCAACGTATACCCGATCCATAAAACTGATACAAATAACCCTGGTCAGCTCATAATTCACTTGACGAAAGTTTAATATGTTTGACTCCGTTTTCTGTGTATGCCCCAAGATGATAAAATATCGAAATTGAAACTAACTTTCAATAGGCTAACACATCAATTATGCCATATTTATGTTGACGAGAATATGTAGTCAGAAAGTATGAGATAATAGGAAGCTTTTTTTAGCTTTCATATTTCAATCTCTAGCCGCCCACTCCCCAATGTAATTCATGAAAAATATAAGGCACTGAATTGTGAGAAAATGTATACAATCAATGCACCTTAGATCTGTGCTTTCTTGTATTCATAAGTAATATATGTACATCGGACATTAAGAGAATTCGAATTTAACAGCAGCAAGTCAACAAGACAGTAAATGACACAGGCACTGGGCTTTTCATTTGTTAACTCACTTTAATAATACTAGGTAGAATACGACATTGCTAAGTGAATCCCAACGATGCATTTTACAATATGATGGTGATGTGACAACATTACAATGAGCTAGGATGTGTGAAAAAATGAGGGGAAGAGGAGATGTTCCGGATGTAAACGATGAGAAACAAACACATCTGCATTATTATTCACTACTCTGAACCTGAAGACGTCAGCTAGGACCTAAGTGACAGTATTATCCTGTGGCGTGTGCTGCTGACACGATTTATCAGTATTATATAAAGATATTTTCATCGGCATAAAAATATCAAATAGCGGAATGATAGATCTGACGTCAAATAGAGCAAATGATTCAGCGTTGAGGCAAAACATAGGAGACGTGAAAAAGGAAGACAAAGAAACACAATACGAAGGGTAGAATTACCACGACACGGAAGATCAGTGTGCAAAACGACAATATTCAAATAAAGTGTACATAATTACCCTAGATAAAAGTATTAAATTCGAAATAATCATTCCTGTAGCAAGTCTCTTGCCTTCTACTGTTACAATACCACTTCGAAGATCTGAATTTATCGTGCTTTGGGACCTAATTCAGTATAACTACCAAAATTGTGCTTTATAGAAACATCCTGATTACAATTACAATTACTATAACAGTTGGCTCACACATTTAAAACTAACTCTTTTTGTTTAGTTCGACAGTATATTTTCTAAAAATAAGCAATTAAATCAGGATAAGGAGCATACACTACAAACAATCCTTTTAGAGATCGCTGACCTTAAAAAAAAATCATTGACCTTTAAAAATAGAAGTTTTCTATAATTTGGTTTGTAATGGTTAGTTATGTTTTTTACGAGTTGATCACAGACTGATATCAGTTAGAGAACCATTGAAAACCAGGGAGTACTGGACAGCTGCTGTTTCATCCTAGTTTGGGAATCATCGGCAGTACACACCCACTGGGATTCGAACCCAGGACCTTCCGGTTACAAGGCAAGCTCGTATACCATTCAGCCACTGAGACCCGATTCAATGGCTGCTGAATTCTAAATTCTACCAATTCGTGATTTAGCGCGATCCCAACCATTGTCGTTGATGAGACATCCATCCACACACGTGACATCTAATTGGACCTCACTGGTCATGACTTCTCACTAGAACTCCAGGAAACTCCATCCTGTAGCAAGTCCAGTACTCCCTGGTTTTCAATGGTTCTCTAACTGATATCAGTCCGTGGTCAAACTCGAAAAATAAATGACATGTGAAAAATTTTCCAAATGTTTTCTGAATTTCCGTTGCGTGGGTAACTTAAATTCACGTAAGATATTTATAACTATGAACAATTTTGTCTTTTGTAGGAGTTTCAACTACCAACCTACAAAAGCAGCCTTGACATTCTAAACGATTTCTTCAGCTTACATTTAGATCAGTTTATCCTGGATCTTTCTTTCCAGTATAGTCATGAGTATTGAGTTTACTATTCTTACTGAATGCATTAGTATATTGATTGGAAGAAGCCATTTACGTTGTTCTGGATACTTACAGAAAACCTTAAGCAAGTAATAACAGTGAGACATATTAATACAAAGAAAATTTAACCGTCCTCATACTTAAACTATAAGAGAAATTGAAAATGCTGTTGTTTTAGCGGTAACTACTCAACAATCTCACATAGTATAAAGTGTATATTACAACACACATTTCATGAATGTGACTGCAATCCTCCTAGGCATATACAGTAATATGAAAGCAAATGAAGCAGAGCTGTACAAAGTGACAACCTATGGTCTATCGCGAAAAGAAACATATCAAATCTCAATCGAAAGGTTCTCTTTATGCAGAGAATCGTATTGTTCACAATTAATAGCGTGCATCGTCAGAAACTCGCAGAAGAGGCAACGGAAGACAAAATCTATCAGATTTAAGATACGAAGACGCTGTCGTAAAAACAGACAGAAGTAGTTTAACCCTACAATACATGGCAATCGGTTGCTACAATGTGCTCTTTCTTAAAGGGATTATAGAACCATGTTTTAACCGTTGTTCGGGCCGTTTTTTTAAGCCTTACTAGTTATTTGAAATGAAATATGAGTTGGTCAAGATAGGCACTAACTGAATTGTCAGTAACCTTTAGACGAATTACGTGTTGAAGATAGTCTTTGTACAGCAGTTATTATTGAAGTCTTTAGAAACCAGTAGATACTTTGTAAACAACATGATTATCTAATCAACTGAGTCGGGTCAGAAAGCTATGAAACTGGAAATACTGGTGGGATTTAGAGTATTATGTGTCAAAAACAATCCTGAGTCGAAAACAGAAAATCTAGAAGCAACGCAGTTAACATTCTAATAAATGGAATTCATTTTGAAATTACTGGAGAACAGACGAACCAACACGCTTGCTAAAGATATTAGGAAGGCTTCTTTTATCCGCTCATACTATACAAGTCAAAGACAATACCAGGAGAAAGCAGAGCGTTGCATGATATATTGTAAACCTCATAAGTTCCCAGACCGTAGACGTTACGAACTTCCTGGAATAATTTGAGCGCCGAGTCAGATTGATTCATTATAAATTATTTAAAATAATCCCAATGTGTTTTTGATTTTCTTTTCTTAAACACGCCGGGACTATTTTAAATAATATTCTGAAGCTTGTATGTTTTCATGAATGAGGCTAGGCCTGCTTTCAGTACAAAGACAAAACTGTCGTACAGGCGCAGTAGGAACCCTAAGCGAACTGCGATCCGTCAGAGGGGATAGTAAATCTACCAACACTAATCCAGTGAAATAATTACGACCACCATAGAGATTATGATCCTTATGATTAAACACACTTCCACATACATTTATAACTTCAAATATGCAAAGTGGAAAGTAACGGAATACAAAGACATAACAGAACGTTTGTGGAGCAATAACAAACTCACTCTTAAAACGATGCTAATAATAATCATTTATACATATACAATTCGTAGAAACGGAAACAATACATCACAAAATTCCTAGAATAATAGAGACTGAAATCCCAACCACAATTGCGGTAAAGTAAGTTTAAGCATATATGGAGGATGTACTATGAGCAAGAGACATGTTCCAAAGACTAATTTTTATCACTTGTGAGTAAAAACTAAACAAATATAATATCTTACTTGCACATTTTAAACACACAGGTCGCCATCCTAATTCCCAAATAGGTTGACTGCAATGATCACAAAATGTATCTCCATCGAGAGGAACAGGGCAGAACAAGTGGCCATTATACGAAGAACTTTTCTTCTGGGATGGCTTTACAGGACTGATCAAGCCAAGTTCTATAGACTCTGGTCTGCACTTCGAATTCAAAAGGGGTTGTACTCTGTTTCCCGCCAAATCCAAGGAATCAAAAACTGTAAACCCCCTGAAACTAGAGCGAGGACAGTAATCCTTAACTTTTGCATAACCATCTGCATTACAAACACTATTTCTATATGCAGAAATGGGATGGTGATGATTGCTAATATTAGAATTCTCTTGTGTATCTGTTTGCGGACTATCCTTTGTTTGATTAATTTGGTCTGGGTCATTATTTATTCTTAAAAAATTTGAAAGTGCTTTTTTTACTTCCAACATCATTTCCAAGAAGTAGAGTGCAATCATAAACCCAACATCTAGGAAATCTGGGACGGAAGTAGCGCACTAACTGAATATGGGCGCCCTTAAGATTCAGATTTCAGATTCAGATTTATTGGTTGAGGATAGAAGGCTCCATCCAAAACTCTTCATATTCACTGATATGATCCAAATGAATTTCTTGACTTTTGATAATGAGGTAATGACTCTGAATATCTGGTGAATTTATCTATTTATTTCATTCACTCACCTATCTTAGTTTAAGCAGATCCTAGGAGTGAGGACAATGGCTACCTAGATGTATTTTCGCGCATAGTATGGATTATCGTATCCATGCCTATAAAGGCATTATGAGCGTGTTTTCTGTTAAAATTGGATATATTCAATTAGTTTTAGCATCCTGCAGCCGAAAAAAATCTGTGTTTTCCTGTATTATCTTAGGATTAGTGGGTAGAATTC